TTACACATAACATCTGTCTTTCATAGGCAAACTCCCTCATTATGGTGTTAGACGGGTCTTGCGATTCCTGCTCAACACTTTTGATGAATCTCCAAAAATGCTTCATATAACAGTGATGGGAGAGTAAACAGTAAGAGGTCTTCTCACTTTAATAGTAATGCGAGTGGTTCAGGGCTGCGTCCTTGCTAGAATGCTGGGAAATGAGATACAATCTTTTGGACAGACTTAGAACATAACCCAAAATACTGCGGCTGCTGCCTCTCATAAGCGCAGAAACTCAGCTTTACAAACGTCCACTCAAAGAGACTCGTGGGACGCGCGCCCCCAGTGAGAAGGCCCTGTTGGTGTTGTTTTATGTTGTATGTTGTTGTTCTGTGGTAGAGGTGTGTGTATGCGTTTATTTGTTATTCTGTGCTGGGTTTGGGGGATAGTTAGAGGGGCTTCCTTTAGCAACCGTGAAGACAGAGAGCAGGGCTAGGAGTGGCCTGCCTCTCATTTTCAGTTGCCTTTCTGCCTTGGTCATTTAATAAAGAGCATTTTTGTGCAGAAATTCTGGCCTAACCTGACTCTTCTTCTGAGCGACGCCATGATATGTTGAACCTATATTATTAAAAACTATATCATTTAAAAAAAACAGATTTTTACTCACTTTTTTAGGTATTAGAGTTGGATGTAGTATGTAAATATCCATTCACTTCCCATATAAGGAGAACTAAACTGTAAAAACAGCGTGATGTCATGAAAAACCAACATACATCCTTTTCAGCCTGGAGCAGTTTAGCTCCACCCACTCACACTGAAGGTATATGTTTCAGCCAACGAGGCACCAATCAGAATAGAGCTCTTTTACAAGTAAACTTCTAAAACAGAGAGAGATGTCCATTCAGTCCACATGTGGAAACTAAGCTAACAGCCTGTTTTGAATCTGCAGTCTTTGTGATGTCACAAAAAAACATTTACATACATCTGTCAATACAGCCTACAGCAGTTTAGCTCCACCCATTTACGCTAAAGATATAAGGAGTGATTCTGCCCCAGCTGATTTTTGAATGAGGCACAGCCAATCAGAACAGAGCTCATTTACATATATCCGTCTTAAAGGCACAGTAACAAATAACAGCCTGTTTAATTGTAAGTCATAGACAGGTTGGAGGTCTCATAAACGGATTACGACTGTTTTTTGGGGTACATAACACCACGCTAACATTATAAGTGGACTTTGTGGTGGGGGGGGTGGGGGGGGGGATACTGCAGGATATGGGCCCTTAAAGACTGCACTTATCTAATTGTGGAACAGGCCATTTTCCCCAAATAACAAGACTGTTCCCAAAAACAGGGCTGCTCTATCTTTGTCAGAAAAGAATGATGAACAGTCCAGCCGTGGGAGCGAGACCCCGGCCCCCCGTCCACCCAACGTGAAGAAACCATTTAGAAATTTACAACTGCCCGTCCAACAAAACTTCAGGGTAATTGACACTACTTCCCCATATTATTGGTGCTATTTCTTTTAGCCCCCCTTCCCTGGGTGCCTTGAGGGGTCTTTCCAGCATGATTCATGCATGTTCAGGGCTGAAGGGAAAGCTCGGGCCCCCCAGACCTGCTGGCAGCAACCATCTATTCCTGTGTGTTCTATCAGCGACATACAGAGCAGGCAGGAGAGCGCGCATTAATACCACATAAACCGCTCCGCCACAAGAAAAGAGCTCGGCGCGAGCCAAAGAGACGTCCACAACTCACACAGTTGGCCCAGCGGCTTGGAAAATATTAGCCAAGACATTCATCATTTCTATCAAAATATTCCTGGACTTCTGCAGCCAGACATAGTTCTGTACTGTCCATCTACATCTGCCTGAACAGCCATTTAACCGCTCTTAATACAGAGAAGAAAAACAGTTACGAGAGTTTAACACATATATTGTGTGACTGGACACGCAGTCATTCCGGTCATTATAAAAATAGCCCAGCACGGTAACTGGCCTTTCCTTTTAAAGCGGTCAGATACTGTACATTAACATTTTTCAACACATCGTCGCTCTGCAAAGGAAAACATGCATCTCTAAAACAGTAACTTTACAGAAGGAGGAAAAATCTTTCTTAACTTTTAATGTAAGGTAATGTAAAGATGTTTTATTCTGATTTTATTTCAGTCCTTCATCATGAAACTTTCACACAATGTGAAGGAGAACCTGCAGGTTCAAATGAAGCTAAAACTCGACAAAAATGGAAACACGTGTTTTTCTTTGGACAGTGTTAGTATAACAGTTGCGACTGCAGCACGAATGAACATTTTTAGTCCTGAGATTGAAAGTATATCAGATTGAAAGAACAAACATGCTCATAAAAACTATTCATCTCAATAAATAGAACCAAACTGAGTAAAAATACAGAAGCAGCATGAAAAATGTTTGTTACAGAGAATTCAATTTCTGCAGAGTAATTCAGATTCCCCACAAGGGGGCGCTAGTGTAATTCTGCGTCACTGAGTGCAAGGAAACCCACACCAGCAGGAGTTCACATACAGCTGGAGTCATACACAAACAGGAAGCAAAGCTGTTTCTTTCCTAATTTCCTGATTTTTAATTTAGTCTGCTGATTCTTAAGCCTTCAGGATGACTAACTCTAAAAATGTAAAGGTCCTATATTCTACATTTTAATCAGTCTGGGCTGAAACGCTCCTCATAACTCCGGCATCAGTGGGCGGAACTAAACTGCTGGAGGCTGAATAGGTGTCAATGTGTTGGTTTTTGTGACATCACCAAAATAATGAATTCAATTCAAGCTATTTGTTTACAGTTTATTTCGCATACGAGGACTTTATGACCTGGGGACTGAAACTAAGTGTTTACGTACTACATCAAAAAAAGCAAGGAACCTCGTTATGATATGGGAAATCATAGGTTGCTTTACATCTGACATCACAGCCCCCAAATAAACAACTTCAATGCATTCTGTACATTGTGAGGCCCTTTGTTAGTGCCTGAATTACCTGATGGACTACAACTACCATAAACCCTAGAACCTGCAACATGCCACAGCTGCGCTGAGGGAACAGCTTGAGCAGTGGGGAAATATACTACAACATATCACATACTGTACACGCCAAGTAGCTAGAACAGCTCACGAATAAATGACTACAGCTTATAGGAGCACTTGGACTCAACTTAATATTAAAATGGGCTGCAAAAAATGGTTTCCTGTCAAGTGAAATTATCTTAAATTTAGTCGATATAACTAATATGTCTTATTTTGAGATTGTTGTAAGCTTATTTGAAGATGATTTAACTTGTTTCTATACATTTCTGACTTGTTTTAGGTGATTTTAGTAATTTAGCTCACTATATTGACAGGTCATTTTGCTAGTTTCAACAATATTTCGTAGATGTAAAATTATCAGGTTATATAGTGAGATCATTTTATTTGTCAAAATACTATTTTTGTGCAATGTGGACATCAGGAGAAAATATTTTATTGTATTTTTTCTGGCTAATATTGTGATTTAAAAGTGATTATTTTCTAAAAAATTAAGCTCTAGTTTGTTTTTTTTTCTGGCCAAGAAGAGAAAATATAAAAATATATTTCATATAAACATATTTCAACTCGAATGCTGAATGTCGTGTGCCAGGCTGCCAGTTCACAAGTTCTGTGTTATTAATTTCCCCACTTAAGGCAGCTTTTAATATAAGATATAATCAACATTGCGGCTCTTGTGATTTGAAAATTGTACTCTTTCAATTCCAGCAGTTACTCGTTCATTCCTGCTTTCCTTTGTTGTATTTGCAAAGATTAATTTCTTTTATCATGTGATACAATATAGTCACACCGTACAGCCCAGATATCCCTTAAATACATATTTACACGAGGAAAAGAGTAACAGGAACTGTTATCAGCACTAAAAAGAAGTGCCATCATAACAGCATGAGGGAACTGAATCAACAGGAAGCAGGTTTACATACTAAGCCTTATTATTCAGTAACTACAGGGACTTCAATACAAACTGGCTGAGCTGTTCTTAGATTACAGCAGTGTGTAATGAAACTTTGGGCCCACCGGAGGATCTTAGATATTTAAGGGGTTAATCAACATCTTTCAAATTTACAAAGAAGCACAGCAGTAACATGCAGCACTGCTGCACTTCAGCACATTATTTAAAGCCGTCAATCATCTGTCTGTGCTTAGAAAATCACCATATAGCATCAGATTAAATGTGAATAAACATAATTACATAAAGTTTGGTTCAGATTTCTCCTGGACACTTCCAGACGTCGCATGAATTTGCGATGAATCAGCAGCTAAACTGATTTAACATACATAAACCGATCAGGCATAACATTCTGACCACCTCCTTGTTTCTACGCTCACTGTCCATTTTATCAGCTCCACTTACTATATAGGTGCACTTTGTAGTTCTACAGTTACAGACTGTAGTCCATCTGTTTCTCTGATACTTTGTTAGTCCCCTTTTACCCTGTTCTTCAGTGGTCAGGACCCCCATGGACCCTCACAGAGCAGGTACTATTTGGGTGGTGGATCATTCTCAGCACTGCAGTAACACTGACGTGGTGGTGGTGTGTTAGTGTGTGATGCGCTGGTACGAGTGGATCAGACACAGCACAGTGCTGCTGGTGTTTTTGTTAAAAAAAGGTCTTAAATGCTGAACAGTTCTTTGATGTAGAATGAGTTGTATATGGTTCTAAAAAGCAACAAAAAAGGGTTCTTCTATTGTACATAAGCTTGACAATCATAACAAGAGAGGAACACTTTTAGATTCTATATAGAATCTAATACAACACAATCTCCATCAATTTGAAGAAACACTTCTTCATGCAAAGAACCATTTAAGCATCAAAAGGCTCTAAACAGAACCACTCCTTTACTAAAGAACCTCTGAAGAACCGTCTTTGTTAGGAGTGCAGTGTATGGGCTCTTTAAGCATGTGCACAGTACTGTATGTGACTGCTGTGCTGTGCAGTTCAGTGATATGGACTGTATAAACTCCTCACCTCTGCCCAGGTCCACCTCCGTACAGCGTCGCTCCGGGTTGCTGTGGATGCGGCACTTAAAGACAGCTCCAGGTGAGCGTACGGCACTGCTGAAGGATGAGTTCGCTCTGGGAGCTCCTACCAGAATCCTGAACACAACAGAAACACAGAGTCACTGAACACATCAGCATCGGTTCTGCGCTCTGCCCAACAGCATCGCTGAGAACCAGTAAAAGTGGCAAAGTAAGCAAAAATGTTCAGATGACTTGAGCGTCGTCTACAGCTGTCAAAGTTGTTGCTTAGCAACGGCGTCTCAGCGGAGTGATAAAATAACAGCACGGTTAGAACGCTGCTCAACCAATCAGCTCGCGTGGCCGAAACTAACTGCTGTATAATATATGTTATGAAAAAAAAAGCTATGATATACAGTTTTACACATTTCCATGTTTGCAATCTGTGAGTCTGAGATCACGTCTGGCCCCCCGAGACCCCCAGAAGAAATGTTCCAAATTCACCTGGGATGAAACCTCGTTACCTTAACGCGCAGAACGACTGTTTGTTCTCCTGTCAAGTTACTATTTTGCCGACACATGTTCTTCTTTGGACAGTGATGATATATGTTTTACATTATATTTATATTTCATTTCCAGTCAAAACAGCCGTTAAGTACAGCTTATTCATTTTTCAGTGTCAGAAAAATACACACACTTAAATATTCAACATAAAATCACACAGAAGCTTCAACAACATAATCTGTTATCAGATGTTCAGAAGTTCAGTCTGAGAAGCTGGTTGATCGTTTTCTGAAGTAATCAAACACATTCAGTGGTGTTGAGGTCTGGACTCTGGGGTGGTCAGTCCATCGTTCAGCCTCTTTGTTTGATGTGTCCGTCTCCTTTTCTCAGTGAGGTTCTTCTTGATCAGCTACACATCCTTTCAGACCCACAGCGCTGAGTCGTCTTCTCACAGTGGAAGGATGGACAGAAACACCTGTGGATGTTTTCAGATCTGATCAGCTTGATTTTCTCCTCTCTCTCAGAGATGAAAGCTTTAAGTGCTGTTTATCTGATGGGGGCAGTTTTGGGGTCGACCAGCTCTTCCAGGTGGCTGTTAGGAGCCACATTTTCTCTGTAGCTTTTAATCAGTTTTCGACCTCCAGTTTTGGAAACTCCTTTGTCTTTCTCCTTCAATGTGCAAGTGGATTATCTTACATCTAATCTCCTCAGAAATATCTCCTGAAAAATGAATAACTTGTACTTAATGGCCGTTTTGACTGCAGATTAAATAAATGAAGGGTGGTCTCTGTACAGTACTGTTTAAACAAAATCTAGACGCATTATAAATATTGCTGCCTTTGCGCCTACACAGCTCAGGACCTTAGACATTAAAAGCTAATATTTGTAAAACATGAAGAATGCAGCTTTTAAATGGTCTAAACGTCCAGTTTTACCAAACAAACAGTTTTTCAACTTAAAGGGGAGGTCCACCCGTTTCAAAATTCTGCACAATTGAGTGTGTGAGATGTAAACAGAGTGATTGAGACTGGTTTTACATCTTAACCATTTAATCATGCAGGAATTTTGAAAAATCAGTGGAGTTCCCCTTTAATATAGACCTTTACAGTGCCTACTCCATTATGTCATTCTGAAACACTTCCCATGGGCTCTTCTGTCATTATGGTGTAACGTGGGAAACAGAAACCTCACTCATCTAAAAACTTTTGTTCCAAATTTGTCTTTGTACACTGAGCTCAGTCTTTGCTGACGTGAGCCGTGATAAGTAGGACTCAGACTAAAACTGGTGGCAGAGGAGCTTTAAAGGGCCCATATCCTACACCCTTCTTGTATCTGGGGTCCACACTGACTTGTCTGTGCCAAAAGCAGTCATAATACGTTTCGACATGACCATCTGCCAACCTCTCATTCTTCTGTTGACGAGTCGCTGATCACATGATTATGACACTAACAATATGGATGCCTCAGAGAAGGCAGCAGAAGAGGAGCCTGGAGATTTCGGGGTCTGTATCTTTGGTTTCCTGAAGGCCAGCAATGCAATCCAGGGCTCTCTGGAAAGAACACAACACGCATTTCTCCACTGATCTACAGAGCTTCAAAGATCAGATACTGAGCGTCGTTACCTCTGGTTTCCCAAAGACTACAGTAAAAGTCCTGTGTGGTTGGAGAGGGAGCATAACAACCTGTAATGCTGTACAGTTTGAAGTCAGCTGCTCTTATTTTTGCTGAGTTACAGCGCTCTAAATCTCTCCGGCTCTCCAGAACTCCGCCATGGGTGAGCATCTCAGTAAGGCCGCCCAGGGTGCGCCTAAGTCGGAAACAAGTTTTCAAGATTCTGGGGTCTGTATCTTCAGTTCCCTGAAGACCAGCAATGCGATCCAGGGCTCGTTGGAAAGAGGACATCACGCTTAATTAACCTGTGGAGTTTGGCTTCGTCATGGATTTTTAAAGTCGGATTTTTAAAGTCAGATTTTTAAAGTCGCTTGTGGCAAACATTCCCTTCTCCTGTGGTTTTATTCATGATGTCACCAACGATTTGTCAACATAAACGCGACTTTCATCACAAAACTGTCGACTTTCAAAAATCTGAAGCCATGCAAGTGCTTCCCTACACCGCACACACACTACACACCCCCCACACACTCACTCACAATATCCAGAAACTGCTCTTCACTGTCAAACTTTCAAGCTATGACAGTATATTTCACTGTCTGAACCACGTAACCCTTTAAAATCCAGGCTTTTTACACACTGAGGCTTATTATTCAGTAACTACAGGGACTTCACTGCAAACCGGCTGAGCTGTTCTTAGATTATAGAAGTGTGTAATAAAACGTTAATATTAACACTGACCATTTAGGGGCCAGTCTTGTGTTCACTACTTAGCAGTAGATGTTCTGCTGATTGGTCCATATACTGGACATTGACCCACACAATCAATTTACCAGCAATTCTACGTTTTATTCTGAAAACTGCTAATATACATTTCCATTATCTCCATTATTTGCAATACAAACCATATTTCTGGTTATTTGTTGTTTTTTGCCTTTTTAAAAAACAATATTATGAACAATGATGAAGACAGAAGTTGGGTAAACTGTCATGTATGATGCAGTATGAGCTAGAGGTGGGCGAAATGGCAAAAATATAATATTGCAATGCTTCAAGACTTTTTCACGATACACGATATGCCACGATATTTATTTGTTCAGATGTTTGATCAGTTGGAACAGAGAAAAAAGAGCCAGTAGAGCTACATTTTAGAAAATACTATCAAACACTGTGAACACAATGATTTATATTCAGTATTTGGCACTAAATCCAGCTAAACGGACTAATTTTACTCTCTTTATAATGAAACATGCAGTTGGTCAGAGTCCACAAGCACTGACGATATACAGGATATGATCAGAAGAGCATGTTGTATTGAATTGTGACATAATTCATCATGATAACGATATATATTGTCATATTGCCCAGCCCTAATATGAACATAAAGCACCTGAGAAAAGCTGCTTATCTGCACAGTAAGTGTTTACTGGCTTAGAAAAACACTAATATTACAATAAATACAAACATTAAAACAGTAAGTGTTGATTTTCTCTGCCACTGTGTCGGTTTAATCATTTCCTGCCCTCTCCTCGAAGAAGCCCAGCATTATTAGTTATCATCTAATACCAGCTTTATCTAATTAATACTTCATTACGCTAAATCAAGTGTGTGATGGCCAGGAGAAGCGAGGCAGACTAGTTTTTACTGTATTTATACTTATTTGCATCTATTCTAATGCTATACAGTGAATCTAAAAGCATAAACACATGATAAACGGCTTTAATCAACGTGCTGAGGTGAAACAGTGCTGCAGCCCTTTGTAATGGAAATGTGAATGGAGTGATTTAATGCAGGAGGAAAAAAGCTGTTAGCTCATCCTGCTGATTCAGTTCCCTCCTGCTTTCATGCTGGCTCTGACTTTTGGAGCTGATAACAGTTACTGGTACTGACTTTCCTACTATAAACATATTTGGGTTAAAGGGGAACTCCACCGACTTTTCAAAAACTCTGCACAATTAACTGGTTTAGATGTAAACAGAGTCAGAACTGTTCACAGTGGTGGTGATAGGAACCAGACGTCCACCTCTAAAAGCTCCCTCACAGAAAGTTCCTACATGAAATGGTTATGAATTCACTGCTTGATGACTGAGACACTGATTTATGATAGTTTTGAAAACTTAAAATCCATTCATGGTGGAGGGATACATAATATGCAGGGTGTTCTGAGGCTAAATAGTCCCCAGAAAACATCAGCATTCAGTTTAAAACTCACGTGTAGGTTCACTGGTGGTTCTGGATAGTAAATAAAATGTCTATATTTGTGTTGTAGTCATGGCGACCCCTGGTTCCTATCACCACCACTGTAAAGAATTCAGAAATTTTGAAAAATTCGTGGAATTCCCCTTTAATTATATACAAATATGACCCGTGCTGTTTTTATTTTTTAATAAATAATAACTATAACTAAATATAACACATGTCATGTATTTTTCTTCTGGCCTGCATCAAAATCTGCACTACTCCACCTCGAACGAGGCTCAATTGATCTGAACTTTCCGTTCCACCTTAAATGATGGAGCAGTTCTATTCAGCGGGGCGCCATTTAAGGTGGACCGGAAAGTTAGAAAAACGAAGCCAGTGAACTTTAAGCTCTACTCACCAGCGCGTGTTATCATGAAAGTGCTCGAGAACCGAATATCCGAAGAAGGTCTCGCGCGGTCCGCGGAACAGCACGGGGTGCTCCAGGTCGATGTTGTAGGAATAAGCCAGAGTTATGGACAAACAGACGCAGAACACGTCCAGCGCCGTTCTCCTCCGCGGGCGCGCGACAGACATCCTGCCGTGCATCCTCAGCGCGGTACGAACGGGCTAAAAACGTCTCGAGCGCCTCGGTGACGCACTCCCGAGCTACACCTACACTCAGCCGCTCTCAGACGGTCCGCTCAGGCGCATTCTGGAGAAGCCTGGACAGAGCAGCGGCGCCCCGGGAGCATCGGTCCGCTCGTCCGCTCGCGGAGCTGCACAACTAAAGCTGCTCAGAGCTGCTGCTGGCGTTAAAGTGCGCTCGCGCTGAAGGCGTATGCTGTTGCGCACGAGCGTCACATTTCACATCCAGCGAGCGCGCAGAGTCCCACGCGCTCACTGCTGCGCTCTGCTGGAGCAACACGGCGCTCCTCTCAGCGCACGAGACCACAGGAGGCTGGACCGTCTTCAGAACCAGAACCACCGAACAGCCATAACATTAAAACCACCTCATTCTACCCTAAACAGATGGTTCTTCAGGGGTTCTTTAGTACAGACAGTGGTTCTGTAGAGAACCATGAACACTCAAAGAACCCTTTGCATGCATAAATGGTTCTCTGCATGGTGAAATGGTTCTATATAGCACCAAAAAGGTTCTGCCATTGTAATGATGTCAAGCTTGAAACAGTAGCAGAACCCTTTTTGGTGCTATATAGAACCATACACATTCTCCATCAATCTGAAGAACCATTTCACCACGCAAAGAACATGGTTCTTCAGGGGTTCTTTAGTACAGACAATGATTCTACATAGAACCATGAACACTCAAAGAACCCTTTGCATGCGTAAATGGATCCTTGAATGGTGAAATTGTTCTTCAGATTGCTGGAGAATGTGTATGGTTCTATATAGCACCAAAAAGGTTCTGCCATTGTAATGATGACAAGCTTGAAACAGTAGCAGAACCCTTTTTGGTGCTATATAGAACCATATACAACACATTCTCCATCAATCTGAAGAACCATTTCACCACGCAAAAAAACCCTTTAAGCTTGCAAATGGTTCTTTAAGAGTTCATGGTTCTATATAGAAACCTTGAAGAACCATCTTTTTTAAGCATGCACTACAGTCCTAAAAACATGGTTCTTCAAGGGTTCTTTAGTACAGGCAATGATTCTATATAGAACCATGAACACTCAAAGAACCCTTTGCATGTGTAAATGGTTCTTCAGATTGACGTTGTATATGGTTCTATATAGCACCAAAAAGGGTTCTGCTATTGTAATGATGACAAGCTTTAAACAGTAGCAGAACCCTTTTGGTGCTATATAGAACCATATACAACACATTCTCCATTAATCTGAAGAACCATTTCACCTTGCAAAGAACATGGTTCTTCAGGGGTTCTTTAGTACAGACAATGATTCTACATAGAACCATGAACACTCAAAGAACCCTTTGCATGCGTAAATTGATCCTTGCACAGTGAAATTGTTCTTCAGATTGCTGGAGAATGTGTATGGTTCTATATAGCACCAAAAAGGGTTCTGCTACTGTTATGATGTCAAGCTTGTATACAGAAGAGCCCTTTTTGGTTCTATATGGAACCATCTACAACACATTCGGAAGAACCACTTCACTACGCAAAGAACGCTTTAAGCATGCAAATGGTTTGTTGAGTGTTCATGGTTCTATATAGAACAATCTTTAAGAGTGTACTAGATAGGTGCACTTTGTAGTTCTACAGTTACAGACTGTAGTCCATCTGTTTCTCTGATACTTTGTTAGCCCCCTTTTACCCTGTTCTTCAGTGGTCAGGACCCCCATGGACCCCCACAGAGCAGGTACTATTTGGGTGGTGGGTCATTCTCAGCACTGCAGTAACACTGACGTGGTGGTGGTGTGTTAGTGTGTGTTGTGCTGGTCTGAGTGGATCAGACACAGCAGTGCTGCTGGAGGTTTTAAACACCTCAGTGTCACTGCTGGACTGAGAATAGTCCACCAACCAAAAATATCCAGCCGACAGCGTCCTGTGGGCAGCGTCCTGTGACCACTGGTGAAGGACTAGAGGATGACCAACACAAACTGTGCAGCAGCAGATGAGCTATCGTCTCTGACTTTACATCTACAAGGTGGACTGACAAGGTAGGAGTGTCTAATAGAGTGGACAGTGAGTGGACACAGTGTTTAAAAACTCCAGCAGCACTGCTGTGTCTGATCCACTCACACTAACACACCACCACCACGTCAGTGTCACTGCAGTGCTGAGAATGACCCACCACCCAAATAGTACCTGCTCTGAGGGAGATGAGTGTAGATACTTATGTTATGGCTGATCAGTGTATGGCTGTATGAATATCTGTACACACGTAGGTCTGAAAGACATATATTAACTATAATATACAGAATATTACACCATGATATGAACATCTGTGCAGCTGTGTAAATTAGCATTATCACAGGACAGTTACTGTGATACAGTGAGGAGGTTTGATGGTTCAGGTTAAGTTTAAAGTGCGAAGTGTCCACTGTGGTTGATGAGCTGCAGCTCTGGGGTAAAAGCTGTTAGCATGTCTGGCTGTGCTGGTTTTGAGGGGAGTGTCTGGAAGAGCTGATGTCCAGGATGAGGGGTCAGCTGTTATAAGCTGATAACAGTTACTGGTACTGGCTTTCCTACTGTAAACATATTTGGGTTAAAGGGGAACTCCACCATCTTTTCAAAAACTGTACATAATTAACTATTTTAGATGTAAACAGAGTCAGAACTGTTCACAGTGGTGGTGATAGGAACCAGACGTCCACCTCTAAAAGCTCCCTCACAGAAAGTTACTACAATGGTTATGAATTCACTGCCTGATGACTGAGACACTGATTTATGATAGTTTTGAGAAGCTTTTGGCCTTAAAATCCATTCATGGTGGAGGGATACATAATATGGAGGATGTTCTGAGGCCAAACAGTCCCTAGTGTAGGTTCACTGGTGGTTCTGGATAGTAAATAAAATGTCTATATTTGTGTTGTAGTCATGGCGACCCCTGGTTCCTATCACCACCACTGTAAAGAAGTCAGAAATTTTGAAAAATTGGTGGAATTCCCCTTTAATTAGATATTAATATGACCAATGCTGTTTTCTATTTTACTTCTTTTATCATATAACTAACTTCTCATGTATTTTTCTTCTGGCTTGCATTAAAACCTGCATCCCTCCTGGACGAACGAGGCTCAGTTGATTTGAACTTTCTGTTCCACCTTAAACGATGGAGCAGTTCTATTCGGCGGGGCGCCATTTAAGGTGGACCGGAAAGTTAGGATATCGAAGTTGATGAACACAAAGCCAGTGACCTTAAGCTCTACTCACCAGCGCGGGTTATCATGGAAGTGCTCGTTAAACTGCTAGCTGGTCTGGCTGTGCTGGTTTTGAGGGGAGTGTCTGGAAGAGCTGATGTCCAAGATGAGGGGTCAGCTGCTGTAGATGACCTGGTAGCCGTAGACGTTGGCAGACCACAGACTAACAAATACCAGCATCACAGAAATAACTACAAAAGCTTAAGCAATTATTCAACAGTGGCTAAATTGGTTGCTACAATGTTGCTAGGTGATTGCTATGGTTTTCCAGGTTGTTGCTATAACATCGCTAAGGTATCTCTGTTGGTTGCTAGGGTGTTGCTAAGTGGTTGCTACGGAGTTGCTAGGTGATTGCCATGGTATTCTCAGTGCTTCCTAGCATGTTGCTAGGTGATTGATATGGTTTTCCAGGTGGCTGCTAGAACACTGCTATCTCCGGTGGTTTCTAGGGTGTTGCTAGGTGGTTGCTACAATGCTGTTAAGTGATTGCTTTGGTATTCAAGGTGGTTGCTAGGGGTTTTCCAGGTGGTTGCTAGAACACTGCTAAGGTATCTCTGGTGGTTGCTACTCCAGGCGGTTACTATGTTATTCCAGGTGGTTGCTAGGATGTTTCTTGGTGGTTGCTATGCTACTCTAGGTGGTTACTATGTTATTCCAGGTGGTTGCTAGGGTGTTAGGCTAGGGTGACATCACAAAAACAGTAAATTAAAAAAGTTTCTATGAACGGTACTTTTTGAAACTTCAACATTGTTTACATACAGCATAGAACTGTATTATTTAAACAAAAATGTGGGGAAAATTCAGGTTTAGCCAGAGACATGTATGAAATAGACAGGCATGATGAACAATAAACATCGTTTGCAAGTAAAACGCAGGTCAAAATGTACTGTAAATAAAATTTTATTAGTTGTTTTAAAATGTAATAATGTAGCAACAGTCACAATGTGCCCTAAAGTACAGATTCATAAGTTCATTTCCAGTCATAATTTACACTTTATTTTACAGTATGATGTATATTTCGTCAGTTCTCAAGAAAATACAGCATTAGGTCCAAAAAAAAAGCTGTAGTAAACAGAGTAAATACTAAGAGCCGCACGCTTAACTGATCCACATATACACCTGTGCAGAGAGGACGTTTAAAGGGACGCTCACCTCACCGAAAAGGAGAAAAGAAAGAACACAAAACCTTCAAGAAACCAAAACAAACAAAAACCATTCTTATTGCACAAAACCTAATTCCATACAAAATCTAGATTTAAAAAAGAAAATAATCTACCCTGAATGAAAAAAAGGAAATAATAAATTATAAAGTCAGAATTTTCTTACCGGGTCTAAAGCTGAGGAAAGTTCTCTGAATCTGATATTTCATTTCATCTAAATATCTAGATCTTATACCATCAACATTACATTCTCACTGTCTCTCTCTCTCTCTCTCTCTCTCTCACTCATTCATTCACTCTCTCACTCTCTCATTCACTCATTTACTCTCTAAATCACTTTAATTCAGTCACTCCGACTCTCCCGCTCTCTCTCTCGCTCGCTCACACACACATAAAGGAAGGGTTCTCTAGTCATTAATATCAGTTCTAAACCGTCAGAACAGTCGGCAGCAGCAGCACAATCTTTCCCTCTGGGTTCCACCTCAGCGGAGCCACGGCTGGAACACAGACACAGAGAACAGCAGATGTGTTATTACAACTTTATACAGCTAATGACATTTATAACTACAGTAGTGCGCAAATCTTTGTACACTAACTGGTTAAATTAGATGTTTTGATTTTCTGAGTGAAAATAAGTTAACACAACCTCTACACTCTTAAAAAAGATGGTTCCTCAAGGGTTCTTTAGTGAAGACAATGGTTCTACATAGAATCATGAACACTGGGACAGTTCTGCTCTGTCTAAATGCTTTAGATGTGAATCTCTGAGCGTCTGTTTTATCAGAGGAGTTCAGTGTGGGGTGAAGGAGCGACTGAGGAGATCATCGTGGTGCAGTTCAGAGCTCATTGTTCTCTGTGTAGCTGCTGTTCTGCTGCTTTCAGCTCAGCTTTTCGAGAACCTGCTGGGTTCTCTCTGACCGTCATTGTTAGTCTGAGAGCGTGAAGTCTTGCGTGGTGCTCCTGTCCGAAGACAATAAGTTGGGGTTCCAAGAATGTGCAAATAATCAGATCAACTGCTCTAACAGGGATGTTTAAGGTGTTTGTTAGGGTTCTGCAACTTTTTCCACTCCTGTGCTGTTTAATAATGTTCTCCATGAGAACTTTAAGAAGCTCCTTCTCCATGATTGCTACTAGTTGCGTGAAATCGTTGACAATGACACCAGGTGCAATTTGCATGAGAACATTTTTATTTTTATTTCATCATATTTTATATAAATTTTTCCCCTTTCAGTTTTCTTTTTACAATATAATTTTGTGTATGCTTATGAATATATAATTTTCTGTTCATATTTGCAGGTACAAACTAAAAAACAGATTGTGTGTGCAGATTTGAAGTGGATATGTGCACTGGAAATATAGTACACAACAAAAACAAATGTGTCTGAATTAATATGTAGAGCACTTATTTTTATATTTCACCATATTTTTATATAGTATCTGAATATATTGTTTTTTAAACTTATCATTGCTGTTGGCACAAAATTCCATCTCCATTTTTGTCGTTTTTTCATTTTTTGACATAATTTGAAAAAGCCAGCTGCCCCTTATGATGTCAAAATTTCATGATGAACAGACCAACAGAAATGGCCCAAAATTACTTGAAAAAAAAAAAGATCCATTTACTTCCATTTAAAGTTAAGAATGTTTTTCTTTCCCCTGTAAAATTACCTTTCAGAGGTATGAGGTTTTGTTCCAAGAGCAGCTGTAGCTTTGTTTATGCTTATGAATATATACCTTTTTGTTCATATTTGAATCTGTTTCTCTGATACTTTGTTAGCCCCCTTTTACCCTGTTCTTCAGTGGTCAGGACCCCCATGGACCCTCACAGAGCAGGTACTATTTGGGTGGTGGATCATTCTCAGCACTGCAGTAACACTGACGTGGTGGTGGTGAGTTAGTGTGTGTTGTGCTAGTATGAGTGGATCAGACACAGCAGTGCTGCTGGAGTTTTTAAACACTGTGTCCACTCACTGTCCACTCTATTAGACACTACTACCTTGTCAGTCCACCTTGTAGATGTAAAGTCAGAGACGATAGCTCATCTGCTGCTGCAGAGTTTGTGTTGGTCATCCTCTAGTCCTTCATCAGTGGTCACAGGACGCTGCCCACAGGACGCTGTTGTCTGGATATTTTTGGTTGGTGGACTATTCTCAGTCCAGCAGTGACACTGAGGTGTTTAAAACCTCCAGCAGCACTGCTGTGTCTGATCCACTCAGACCAGCACAACACACACTAACACACCACCACCACGTCAGTGTTACTGCAGTGCTGAGAACGATCCACCACCCAAATAGTACCTGCTCTGTGAGGGTCCATGGGGGTCCTGACCACTGAAGAACAGGGTAAAAGGGGGCTAACAAAGTATCAGAGAAACAGATGGACTACAGTCTGTAACTGTAGAACTACAAAGTGCACCTATATAGTAAGTGGAGCTGATAAAATGGACAATGAGCGTAGAAACAAGGAGGTGGTCATAACGTTATGCCTGATGGGTGTATTACATAACAAAAAAACAAAAGTGTCTGATACTTGTCCCCCCAAAAAAAGTCTTCCTGGTAATTACTCATATACATTTACCTACAACCAAGTAAGTTTTACATTACTGAAAACACTGATTCCAAACTTTTCATCAGTGATGTGAAGCTGCTCTGGCCAGATTCCTTCATATTTTAGTACAGAAAACTGAGTGGTAGCTCAGTAGACACTTTTTAAACATTTCTACTCACTTTAAGAAGCAAAAAGTCCCAAATGCTGTAAGTACACCTTATATAAAGGTATAATAACGAACGGCTAATATATGATTAACGGCCTGAACATCTGCAGGTGATTGGAGCGCTTGGCTGGCTCTGTGCTCTGCTATCACTTTGTGAGGGAGTTATAAATGATAACGCTAACGTGAGCATCTCACAGATGCGTAAAGAGACTTTAGAGAGGCAGAAGAACATCAGGGAATTCTGTGATTGCACAGATGTGGAAGAATGCTGACTCACATCTGTTTCAGTTTTATTCTAAGCCAGAGACATATGCAGTGTGTGCGTGGGGGAGGGGAGGGGGGGGTCCACAGAAATAACGTACTATCAGGTTGATCATCTAAAAATGGAGTTTACCATCAATCTAGAATCCTCACGCTCCAGAACCTTCTGCGCCTGGTCCGGCGGAAACTTGAGCATGGAAGTTATGACTTTGGCCATCGTCTGTGAACAAATAACCCAAAGACAGTGTAACATTAACAAAAACCGTGAAAATAAGAGTCAGACACTCTTAAAAAGATGGTTCTTTAGGGTTCTTTAGTCAAGAAAATGGTTCTGTATAGAACTATGGACACTCAAAGAACCATTTGTGTAATTAAAGGGTTCTTTGCATCATGAAAGGGTTCTTCAGATTGATGGAGAATGTGCTGCAGATGGTTCTATACAGCACCTTCTTGAAAAGGGTTCTGTATGGCACCAAAAAGGGCTCTACTATTATTATGACTTCAAGCTTCACGCCTAAAAGATGGGGCTTCAAGGGTTCTTTAGTAAAGAAGATAGTTCTGTACAGAACCATGAACATGATTTGCATGATTAAAGAGTTCTTTACATCATGAAAGGGTTCTTCAGACTGATGGAGAATGTGCTGTAGATGGTTTTATATAGAACCTCCTTGCAATTTTATTTGCTATTTGGATGCTATCTAGGACCCTTTTCAAAATGATTCCATATAGAACCATCTACACAACATTCTGCATCAATCTCAAGAACACTTTCATGATGCAATCATGCAAGGGGTTCTTTGAGTGTTCTTGGTTCTATACAGAACCATCTTCTTTGCTAAAGAACCCTTGAAGCACCAATTTTTAGGAGTGAAGCTTGAAATCGTAATAATAGAAGAGAGAGATTTTTGGTGCTATACGGAACCCTTTTCAAAAAGGTGGTATATAGAACCATCTACAGCACATTCTCCATCAATCTGAAGAACGCTTTCACGATGTAAAGAACCCTTTAATCATGCAAAGGGTTCTTTGAGTGTTCATGGTCCTGCACAGAACCACTTTCTTAACTGAAGAACCATCTTTTTTAAGAGCGAAGCTTGACATTGTAATAACAGAAGAACGTTTTTGGGTGCTATACAGAACCCTTTTCAAAAAGGTTCTATGTGGAACAATCTGCAGCACATTCTCCATCAATCTGCAGAGAACCCTTTGATCACACAAGTTTTTCTACGATTTTCTACCATTTTCTTTGCTAAAGAACCCTTGAGGAACCCTTGAAGAACCAGCTTTTTAAGAGTGTGATTGTAAATAAGCGCACGTTGGCTTAGAGGAGGCTGTTGTGACACTTCACCACTGACAGCATACCAGCACGTCACGGTGACACTTCACTGCAGAAAACAGACCTGTAATAAATGATGGAACGACTGTTTCACCATAAGCACAAGGAACGTTCTGCAACTTTACCAGCTCCTGTTTTCTTTCTAAGTAGGTTCATGTTGTTCTTGTGGGTCACAGTATACAAAGTCCAAAAACATATCCTGTGAATAACTTTCCAATACTCAACATATTTGGCCAACATGCTGCTTCTTTAATAATCTGGGTGGTCCTAATGTTGGGTAGCTCTTACATCAGCATGACCCTCACCAATCACAAGGCTGCAGTTACAATTGTCCTTCAGTCTCTGTTTAACCTCTTATACTTGTAGGTATATTTTGGTTTTTCCATCTGATTTGAATGCCCAAATCGTAAGGCAAAATATTCAGTAACTGCAAGAAATAACTGTAAATTTAAAAAAAGTTCTGCTCAAATTAACAGAAAATGTGTTTTATGATCATGAACATATTGCTATATGCTTACAATTTACTGCTGAAAGCCAAAAATCTTAGATGCTCTTTGTACTTTTTTATAAAAAATCATTTTTACAGAGCAGATCACTGAAGAGACGCCATCTGAGATCCAGTTTATAGCTCAGATTTGTGGAAAAATGAGTCGAATTTCAGCGGATTTTATTATAAAGTTTTAAAACTACATTACCCATCTATTGACTGGAAGGAAGCTCTCATATGACCCCCTCCTTTAGAATGTAGCTTATGAAATATGAAAGTTATGAAGTAAAGAATATGACGAAGTGCGTTTTGGAGTTGAAGAAGTTAAGTCAGAGAAACTTACAGAGAGAAAGCTAACCACCAAGTGAAAGCTAACCTAGTAAAGATAACTGTGCTGGCACGAACGTCCATTTCACAGTTTGTTCACCCAACCAGGCGTTCCAACGTTATGTGGCTGCAGATCCAGCAGTAAAGTGAATAAGAAGCTTCTCTAACCTTATCTAGATCAGGGTTTCTCAACCTGTGGGCCGCGGACCACCAGTGGGCCGTGAAGCACCGTCCAGTGGTCCGTGGGCCTGTACTTAGGGGAGACAGTCGTTCGTAGTGGGCCGGTTGAGATGTATAAATAAAATACCACAGTAACAGGCTAATTAAACGCCATCAGTCTGAGACGCGCAGCCGCCGGCGCAGTGCAGACGGTCAGAGATCGAAAGGCTTCTCGGGGTGTTTCTCCTACCCTGGTGCAGACCGATCAAACGTTTTTCTTTAGTTCACTCCGTTTTGACGTGTGAGAACATTCCACATGTATTCAGGTCTGCATCAGATGCCGGATCGGCAAAACCCGTGGGTCTCAGTCCGCTTCCAAACAAACCCTGTTGAGTTCACAGCTGGTGATACGCATTTAATGATCAAACGAGGGAAATTCGTCAGTAGAGCCGGCTTTCCTTTTCTTCTAGCAGCACATCGGTGCTGTACACCGTCACTATCCTCTGCCTGTTTTAAAGTCTGACTCTTTACAGACTCTCATTGCTCTCATATCGTTCCTGCAGCTCTGCTGTTAAAATTGACAGACAAGCCTTAAAATAATAACGAAGATCTGCGTTTGATTTTTGGACGAGCATCAGCGACATGAGTTAAACTCAAATTGATAAACTATTGACAAAGAAGCAGAGATCATGTAAGGATCATCATTACTATTGTTGAATGTGATGACACTGATCCAAAAGCCCACTGAGTGGAGTGAGGATGACTTCAAATGAGGCACTAAAACCCTCAAAACTAAAGAGACTCCAGACCAAACAGTGACTCCTGTGGGAGTGTTTGCTATGAAAACGTCCAGCAATACTGTGATGTAATACATCGTTAGAAAGCTTGAAATCTCAGTATCCAAAATGTGATCTGATCAGTTTAGAGATCTATGAATCAGGAGGAAACAAACTCCTTCTTTCTAGACTCTCTTACTCTGTAACAGGTATTCAAACTTCAGTGTGTTAACTTTCAAATGAGACTGAGATCTTAACTGTAATCCAAAGTATGTGGGAACAGCACCCCTTTACTTTGGGTACGCTGTTTCAGGCACAGTTAACAGGTTAAAGCGTCTCCATGTAAAAGCTGGATGATGTCCTCAGTGAGTGGACAGAGGGGGGTCTACAACGCCACCTGCATATGTAGAGTAGAGGTCCGCGTGGGACTGTTTTTTCAGTCCCGCTCCCACAAGATTTCATCCGTCAAAGCAAACTGGCATCCAATATCTGACAGTCTATTCACAAACACGTTATTCTCTGATGAAATAACAGGTCAATCGTGGTCATCAGGCTACTTCAGCAACTTCACCAAACGCTGTTTATTCACCATTCAAACACAGAGCAGGATTTAAACCACAGAGAGGTTATTTTTGGTGTTTCGCTGGGCAGCTGTGACCGTCGGACTGAAGGCTCCGTCTATGAAGTGTCTTCATTAATTTTAATTAAAACAATTCAAATGAATGAAGTCATTCTAAAGAGCTGTGAAGCAGCCGATCACGTGAACAACACACAGATTCTCGTAGTTCACACAGACGGAGTCTTCAGTCCACTGTTATCATTTTATATTGTTTATATATATATGATTTGGAGATTGTTCTACTTTATTTAGGCTATTCATTGATTTGTGGCCTTTCTTTTCATGTGTGGTTCATCCTGCTCCCGCCTGCACTGGGCTGGTTTCCCGCCCGCTCCCGCGGGAATGCAGGCTTCTAACGTAGAGCCTGTTTCGCACCTTTGTCTGCTTTATTTGTGCTGCTGTGTTGAGTTCTGCTTCAGTGCTGTAGCGGGCTGGAAGTGTTGGACTGAGGGCTGTCAATCACATGCACTCATTAGAATATTAGGCCACACCCACACCTTTCTAATTCGCAAGTTTTAAGCTGTGTTTTAACTATGAGAATCTGTGTTGTAGTCACTTTAAATAACAATAACACTGAGTCACTTAACTCACTTTAAAATGTATATATTCTTCACAGATTGTCCCTTGTTTAATATAAATATATTTGTACATATCAGAGGTTTTTTCCTTACATAGGTCCCTCCTGTCTCTATATTTTGTGTATATTTAATATATTTCAGTTTCAGTATTTTCTTGTATTTTTATCTTTACTTTGTTTACTTTTGTCGAGTGACTATCTGAGCCTCACCACAAGCATTTCATTGCATGAATGTCCTGACATGATGTTCAAATGACAAATAAACTTGAAACTTGAACTAAAAACTACATTTGTTTTGTATTTTCATTCAGACTTTGCTGCATGTCTAATATAAAACTCGATGTCAGTATCATACAAACATCATTTACACTGTGTTCCCTGGGACTAAAGAACTGAAGCACCAGTGTTGTAGGACATAAACTCTTTAGACCAGAATGAAGGTTCAAAGTTCGGGCTTCTGTAATATAGACAGAAGATTTCTATTATTCAGGTAACTGTGTGGAAGAAGCGCAGTAAACATGTAAACTGGATTGGGAAGAATTTTTTCTCATTTGCTTTACCTTTTATTCAACCATGATGAAGCTCCAACTCGAACGCTTACACTCTTTATAACGCTTGAGAGTCAGGAACCACCTCAAAATTGCTACTGCTGATGCTTCTAACTTCATTTTTCCACAAAAGACGCTGTTAATATGGTGGATAAGTTTTCATTTTCAGAGAGAAGCAAGACTGACAGGGTCTACAAGCTTTTCTTTCATAATTACCTGCATGACCACGAAGGTACAGTCAGGTCCATAACTATTTGTTATTGTATTATTAGTGTTATTGTAGCTGTCTAGTTGTCATACTGGAGTTGAAATTAAATAAAAAATATGAGCTCAGTGTGTAGACATTTCAGCTTTGAGAGTATTTCCACCCAAATCAGGCGAACGGTGCAGGAATTACAACCGTTTTCATTAATAGAGCCCCCAGATTTTCAGGATGTATGAAATGTTTAAAAGTGCAGATATGTTAATTTTTAATTAATTAGCTATATACAGCTATGCACATTTATATATACAGCCGTATGCAAATTTTTGAAAACAAGTGGTCAAATTCTATGTTTTGTTGATTTTCTAAATTGAAACACATCCTCTACAGAGAACACACTTTGGCAATTATCTTTACATTTTACTGCATCATTTCTATTTGTTTGCAAAAATGTAAAACATAAAATACAAATATTTAATATAAAATGTGCCTTAACGTCTGTGGGAATGCTAGTGTTTTGCTATTGTTTGCATGAAATAAATCAATGTATGAAAGATTTTTTTTCAAACCTGCGGTAAATTACTCTCTACAGTCTCCGGGGTCTGTTACCATGGTAACTCGGTTAACCATCAGCGGTAAGAAGCCTACTGTATACTCACATTTAGTACTATAAGTACAGTTAACTTCGAAACAACACACCAGCGTTTAGCCTGATCATATTTCAAGGTCAAGAGCAAATCAGAGAAATTTAGGAGGAACTGACTCATCAGCCAATGAGAGAAGCTCTGAAACCATTGACTAGAGGCTCCACGAACCTTCGCCTCCTCCCTCACTCTTCCCTGCGAACAATTAAACCACGCAAAGGCAAAAAAAAATGCTCGTTATCTGCCGCATGCTGTGTAATCAGCTCCAGACACATCTGCACACTCAGGCCTATAAATACGGCGCTAATCAGAACCAGCGCTACCGCTTAGCTCCGGCTCTGCTCTTAAAATGCCAGGCGCGGCTGCGTCATGTGACAAAAACGCCCACCGGGTCGCCTGCCGGACATCCTCCCTCACAGGGAGGCCCAGTGTGATGTCATATGGTCACCGACTGTTTATTGTTGACCCTGGGCTTCCCCGCTGGCTTTAGGGCCCTGTCAACCGGGCTGTTAATTAGCCCGGACTAAATGGACAAGAGTCGTTAATTAGGGTCCTGCAATGCGGACACAGTGTGGCCTTTGTGTGGGGCTCTGACACGGCAGTGGCCGTTTTCATGTGAGGACAGACTTTTTCCATTTGAGCTGCCAGCTGAAAAGTCTTCCTTTCATACTCAACGCTGTGCTGGGCAAATGTTTTCTGGGGTTTTGGGTTCAGAAGAGCAGCAGTTGTTGCTTTACAAATAGACTTGTGTTATTATAATGTAGCGGATTATATACAAGGGATGCACTGACATGGTTATTAATTATTATAGCAATATATAGCTAAGCACATTTATATATACAATTTTTATAACACAACTCGTCAAATTCCATGTAGTTACCACAGAAAATTACCGTTTCGTCACGTAATTTTCACAGAAAATCTACAGGACGTGGGAGAAAACACAGTGACACCATATTAATCTTTGTCTAATTAAAGAACAAAATGAAGCGCAGTTCAGTAAAAGTTGTGGTTGTATTTTATCGTCATCTTTAATTTGGCTGCAAAGCTGTAATTAATCTTGTAATAAAGAGTGGGACTGCCAATGTCACACCAACGTTACCGTCTGAGAGTTTGTGGCCACTTAGCCTAGCCTAGCCCAGCCTAGTCTGCCTTCTTCTCTGAAGCCATTTCTCTTTTCATGCTCAACGCTGTGCTGGGCAAAATGAGTTTTTGCTTTACCAATAGACTGTGAAAAAGAACAGTGGTTATCATATATAATGCTATTATAATGTAGCAGATTATTTATAAGGGGTGCACAGAACTTCTGCACAGGCCACACTGTATGTTTTATTCTTTTCCCAATTAAATTCTGCAAATAAACAGTAATTGTGCATTAAAAAGTGCAGAAGTGTGTCTCTGTGTAACTTGTTTTCACAAAACATGGACCAGCCTATATCAATAACCGACGAATAATATCACCAATATAATCAATAATTAAGATCGGACTTGTTATCTAACAACGTAGCTAATCTCCGTTTTAAAGAGTAATGTAAATAAGCGCATGTTACTTACTGGATAAGCCACAGCAGAACTGCTACACAAGCCGCGCAGGTTCATGTTTAGGAAAATGGAGTCGCTAACCCTTTTATTTTTCAGATGCTGATAAGCTTGGCTACAGATTTGGTCTACTGAAGAGCTTTCCTGGTGGTGTGCTGGTAACACAGTCCTCTTATTTGGGTAACGGTGTGGAAAATAGCCGCAGTAAGCAGTTAAACATAGTTAGGAGTGTTTTTTGAAGGTTTACAGGATGTGGGAGAAACACAGTGACACCATGAGAGTCTAAATCTTTGTCAAATAAGCAACTCAGTAAAAGCGCAGATCAGTAAAAGTTGTAGTTGTAGTTTACAGTCATCTTTAATTTGGCTGCAAAGCTGTAATTAATCTAGTAATAAAGAGCAGAACTGCTAATGTCACACCAGCTTTCTGAGAGTTTGTGGCTGCTTAGCCTAGCCTAGCTTATCTTAGCCTAGCTTGGCTTATCCTGCCTTTTTCTCTGAAGCCATTTTCTCCCGAGGCGACACGTTTCGGCTGATTAACGAGAACCGAGATTATTATTTTACTCGTGTTTTCCCCTCAGAAACTGATGTTTGCATTGATAAAGTCATGGTGAAAACGGACGATTCTCAGAGGAGCTTTAGCAGTGTAGATTGTTTATTGTGGAAAAAGGAGGAAAAAAAGCATGAAGCGCTCTGCACTCCTATTTATTGTATAATAATGAGTTCATTTGGAATTCAATAACGAGGCGTTTTGCTTCTATGGCTCCCAAAAAATTAACATTCATTTATTCTGCTGCTGCAGTCAATGGTGAAAGTTGGGAAAACTGAGCTCGTGATGGAGAATTCCCCTCACGACTGTGGTCTGCGGAACGACGCTGCTTGAGGTGGCGGAATTTTCCGTCACTGATCCATTGAAAACCATGGAATATCTGGTTTGCTAAAACACGTGAACGCAGCATTATTGTTATAGCAGCGTGTTTCCATAATCTTACTTTAATAGCTGCCTGGATGTGCAACTGAACCTGCAGTCTTCCGTGTAGGGCGCTGTTATCCACTACGCTATCCATTTGAGTGTATTATAAACAATGGACCACAGAAGCTGAAAACAGTGGAGGTAATTATTGGCTGTATTTCCGATGTCAGGCTAATACTAGCAATTAAATGAAAGGATAGAATCTGTGAATAACATATGGGCTGGCGATTCGTCGTGCATCCCTAAGTATGTGTTTCCAAGACTCACAGATGCAACTCTCTCTTTGAGGGAAGACTGGATACATACCTTTGTCTCTCGTCCCATCATGTACTCAAACATGACCTTCCGCAGGTACTCGAACTCGGTGTGCTCGGAGAGGGGATCGGCGTTGTAGTGTGCGGGTTCTGGGAGGACAGAAGATTCATCATCAGTGCAGGACAGCGGATGACTGTGACTATCAGAGCTGGGCCTTCAGCTTGGGCCATAGACATATAATCAAATAATCAAATAAAAATAAATAAATAATCAAATAATAAACAAACCAAACCTCTACAATAACGCTAGTCTCTGCTGAGTCTAGTACTTCGTTAGCGCTCAGCTCTAGATCTAACAGTTCTAGATTAAACACGACATTTGAAGCTTGTATAAAACAGTTTTAATTGAAGCCTCTGACAAATATTAACATACAGCTGAGGTCGTATGCGTCAGTTTTACAGTGACTCTTTCAGCAAAGAGTTCTGATATAGAGCTGCCGCCGCTGTTCTCCATTCCTAACAACTAACCGGAACCTGCTTAGACTATTCACAGTCAGTGACGAATCTAGAACCTCCAGGACTACAGTGATGATTTTTTCTCTCAAAGTTGGCTGCAGTGAAAATCAAAGCCTGACTGGACGGTTCCTCTGTCACTTCCTTTGTGCTGGTAGTTAATCTAATGTGTAAGGTCTTCAGTCCAGCTCCTGGTGTCTTAACCAATGGGAGAGCTTGCTTGGCTGAATCTACCTGAATACCACAGAGAGAACAATCCTGTTTGGATAATTTTTTGTTGAATGTTTTGAGTTTAAAATCCTTTCTCTGGCAAAAAAAAAATTAACAATACAATAAGAGTATAACCTCATTATGACCACTTCCTTGTTTCTACGCTCATTGCCCATTTTATCAGCTCCACTTACTATATAGGGTCACTTTGTAGTTCTACAGTTACAGACTGTAGTCCATCTGTTTCTCTGATACTTTGTTAGCCCCCTTTTACCCTGTTCTTCAGTGGTCAGGACCCCCATGGACCCTCACAGAGCAGGTACTATTTGGGTGGTGGGTCATTCTCAGCACTGCAGTAACACTGACGTGGTGGTGGTGTGTTGTGTGTTGCGCTGGTCTGAGTGGATCAGACACAGCAGTGCTGCTGGAGTTTTTAAACACCTCAGTGTCGCTACTGGACTGAGAATAGTCCACCAACCAAAAATATCCACCCAACAGCGTCCTGTGGGCAGCGTCCTGTGACCACTGATGAAGAACCAGAGGATGACCAACACAAACTGTGCAGCAGCAGATGAGCTATCGTCTCTGACTTTACATCTACAAGGTGGACCAACAAGGTAATAGAGTGGACAGTAAGTGGACACAGTGTTTAAAAACTCCACAGCACTGCTGTGTCTGATCCACACTAACACACCACCACCACGTCAGTGTTACTGCAGTGCTAAGAATGATCCACCACCCACACAATACCTGCTCTGTGAGGGTCCATGGGGGTCCTGACCACTGAAGAACAGGGTAAACAAAGTATCAGAGAAACAGATGGACTACAGTCTGTAACTGTAGAGCTACAAAGTGCACCTATATAGTAAGTGGAGCTGATAAAATGGACAATGAGCGTAGAAACAAGGAGGTGGTCAGAATGTTATGCCTGATCAGGGTACTTACAGAGTTTAAGTACAAACATGATTATATTAAAGAAAAAAATAAAAATTACTTACATACATTCTCTGAAGGCCTCGAAGGCCCTGATACTTCCCTACTGGTGAGGAATATGTAGCAGTCCAGAGTAGCACAGTGTTACTGGAAACGGCTCCTGGTGGTTAGAGATTAGCAGGCAGCCTGTAAACTCTGCCAGCAGCTCTCCCTCCCTCTCCCTCCCTCTCCTTCCCTCCCTCTCTCTCTGCCCTCCAGCTCCCTTCTTCTACCACACACTGCTCTGTCAGGCTCCTAATTACAACCAGAGCAGGCAGATGACAGGCTTATGAACTCAGCAAACGTGATTCCGCTCGGCCTACATTGCCTCGACGTCAGCAATTCAGTGCGTGTTAACGTAAAAAGTCAGAGAGGACGTCGGTCACCATGGGAACAGATCGGAAAGGAGATCAATGTGCTTTTGTTTAGACAACTTGTTCACTCATCATCTGGGCCGGTGCCTGAGGGTTCGGCATAAGCATTGACATTTATAGACAGGATATATATATAAATGCTTTGGTGCTGTAGTTTTGCTCCTACCATATAATAGGGCTCTCTCTCACTCACACACCTCTGCATAGCAGTAATCAGTCAGTAAATCAGCAGGACTGCTCGCTGTGCTCTGGCCTCAGTCATGCTAGTTAGACACAGTTTTTCGAAAGCACTGAGAAAAGTATAACAGCAGCATTGTGGCTGAAATACAGAACGGCTTCTATTCGTTTGGGGACACTTTTTTTTCATGAGGAAAGTGAGAGGAGAAAGAAAGGAGACATTATGATGATAAATCAAAACAAGCACAGTCCTTAAAACTAATAATAAGAATAATAAAAATATATTTGACTATGTGGGGGAGAGTTTTGCGACTATTGTGGTAAATAATGAGGAAAAAGCATCTTAATTTTCCAAACGATCAATGAGTTAAAAAATAACCAAATAATAATTAATACACGGCTCAGCGAATCAGGTACCATAAATGGTACTATTATGGCACTACATTTTATAATCGATCTTCATGAGTTGCATGCTTGATTTTAGTTTATCAATTAATCACTAAGGCTACGTTTCCACAGCAGGTAAAAGCGGCCCAAATCTGATTTTCTCACCAAATCCGATTTTTTTGTTTGGCTGTTCACACTGTCTTTTAAATGTGATCTGTATGAGACATCAGTGTGAACAGATCAGCTCCTAAACTGACCCGCATGCACAAAAGAACAGTGCTTCAAGTGGCTCGTCCAGAGGTGAACAGTCCTGATGGCCAGCGAACGCCAGTTGCTCCCGGAGCTTTAGTTTCGTCTTTGCCAGCATCACAGGAGTGATTATAATGTTCCAGTGGTTGACAGCTGGACTCATCACCCAGAATGTGTTCGAGTTCACTGTAAAAACTACGGCCACTTCTTTGGTTTGTGTCCTCCGATTCTTTAAACTGCTCTTTCACGCTGCAGCCTCGGTCTCCTGCGGCCGCGTTCGGCCGTTTCGTCCGAAACCTCTTCAAACACAGTTTGATAAGTATCTTCTAATTTTTTTGTACAGAAACATCAGCCTAAATGTTTATGAGCCTCAGCAGCGTGAAATAATGACGAATGTCAAGTTGGACTGACGTACAAATTGCATGAATTCCGATCTGGCTGTTCAGACTGAGTCACATTGCCGCAGATTGGATACGCATCAGATTTCAATACCACATATGAAAGCGTCTCAAAACAGAATTGAGATTCAGTGTGTTTATCTGTTCACACTGACACACAGACACACATCTGTGTCACACATGAAGAAAAAGATCGGATTTGGGCCACTTTTACCTGCTGTGTAAACGTAGCCTAACTAACAATGGTTAGTGGTCAAAAGAGTTTGCCAAAATCTGTGTCCCTACTAGACTGGTCACAATTATTACATAACTGCCTGAATGCAATTATTATCTTCAGTTTTTAGCTTTCACAATCATATGTTTACATAGCAAGAAACTTTGAGTGCGTATACATGCACTTAATAATCTGATCATAGTCGGATTTCTGCAGTTATCCGATTAATTAAATGGTCATGTAAACACCATACTCAAATCTAGAAATCTGATTAAGAAATCTGATAAAGAGGCTGGATTTTAGCTCAGTAATCAGATTTCTCAGTGCATGTAAGCTCTTACTCTGATTTCTATCGGATTTCTCAGTCTACGCATGCGCGAGATCAGACGGTGGATGTCGCGAGACGCAGCAAAACACTTTTGGAGCAGCGCTGAAATCAAACACGAAATAAAGGACTTAAATATTCTTCATCTTCTAGATGATGTTTGTTCATATTTTCAGCTAAAGCGGCGCAATTTTTATAAAAAAGCCGCGGTAAGTTTGAGTTTTACGTCATGTTTACATTACGTCGTCTTCTGTGAGTTTATTGGCTGGTTGCAAAGCAGAAATCTGATTACTGTCCAACTCATGTAGACCCGGAGTTTCCTCAAGAGCATGTAAACGTCGATCGGATTACTGACAAAATCCGATTTTCTGCAGTTACTGGATTATTAAGTGTATATAAACACACTCAATGTGAATTGGGTGCATGTTTATATGCTGGGCTGAGGCAAACGCATGTACATGAAAGAAAGCAGAAAATGTATTTATCGAGACGCCTTATGGGTCTTATGAAAAACATTTGTATTTTCTGAGTGGTGCTAGTGTAGCGGGTAACATCTCTGCCTTCTACACTGTAGACTGGGGTTCAATCCCCACCTGGGTAAACACCCTACACTATACCAATAAGAGTCCTTGGGCAAGACTCCAAACACTACCTTCACCTACCTGTGTAAAAGATTAAGTTGTAAGTCTCTCTGGATAAGAGCCAGAAATGTAAAACACCTTCAGAGGGCAGTGGTGAGTATTGTTTGTTTATTTGAGCTCGAGGTGCGTCTGCTGTCAGCTCTGAGCATTTAAAAGCTCTTAATAGCTCTGGCGTATCTAACTGATCTAATTTCCTAACAGCCTGTCCAGACTGATGCATCCAGCTGAGCCAGGCTGTCTGCAAACTGAGAGGATCTCTCTGGTTTGTAATGGCTGTTAATGTCATTTAAAGTAGTGTCGACTTCAGCTGCTGAGTTCTTGTGGAAGGGAGAAAAAGGCTTCTTCTTTATTTCAGCATCAGGTGGCACAGGGTCTCGAGAGACCCCACTGCGCAAATACAGTGTTCCAAACAACAGTTTATACCATTTATCTGGGGTAGTTTGATATCCCCCCACCTTACTTCTCAGATTTTGATATCAGCTTATTCTCTAATAGGTGCATCTCTTCGTCCATCAGTTTGGCCATCGCATGATGAGCTCACTCCTAAAAACTGGCTTCAGCAGGTTTTTACCAGCCTGCTCTACCTTTCAAGGTCAACTTGCCCCTCTCTTCACTGGGTCAGTAGGTACACACAGGCCTGTCTGTGAACCCAGCTGCTTTCCAGTGTCTAGAATCTCCTATGCAGACAGT